CTGAACATGAAAATGGTCTCCTACACCTATCTCTTGCATTAGCTTCTGATGTTTGTTATCTCAGAGGAGTTATCTTTGATTTTATTCTCCTAAACTCGCTTGTGTCTTTGGATCAGTCATACAGCAGACTGAACAAACATCATGAGGAAGTTGGCATTTGAAACAGGAATAATCATAACTAACTAAATGCCTGAAACCAAGAAACAAAGTATCAGAGAAGAAAAAGGGGCTCCATATAGTTCTGCATCAGTTACTTTTCAATTACAGCAGCCCGAGCAGAACGAAATTGTTAGTGTCATTTATCGACTGTGGTGCCCTCTATTAGAGTAACAACTGAGAGAAATCCATCCTGTTGTATAAACCACCTGGCTGTCGTACAATAACAAAGAGTTAATTTCTGTCAGCTGTCCTTAAGTGTTTCGGTCTGTGATACAAGAAACCGATGAGAAGTATTCTCCAGGAAACACATGAAAACACACGAGGACCAATCACATCTAACTGGGCAGGTAATCTTCCTGATGGCTTTTCTCACCGCAGTTTCTGGAACCATTCTGTTAGAAGACAAAGTGAGATGTAATGTGTGTTTAAAGTGATAAGGGTAATGACTCTTGAGATTGAAATGTCATCCCTAAACACTTGAAGAGATGCTTTGAAAGGAAATATTAGGCTCATAAATTTTAAATGGTTCCTTTTTTTAATGTCCCATTTGTTTTTGAGACAGTCATGTCTCAGACTTGTGCCCAGACTTCCCTCTCCCCAGCCACTTGGACCAGCTCCTCCGGGGGAATCCCTAGGCATTCCCTGGCCAACCGAGAGACAAAGTCCCTCCACTGTGTCCTGGGTCTTTCTTTAGGCCTCCTCCCGGTTGGACTTTCTCGGAAAACTTCACCAGGAAGGCGTCCTAATCAGATGCCTGAGCCACCTCAACTGTTTCCTCTGGATAAAATATTTTGCATTGTTGTAAAAGGTGTGTGCCAAATAAAACCTCTAGAAGATATCAACCCTAAGGCAGAAGCAAGAGTTCACACATTGTGCCTCAAACATCAAACTTTGCAGCAGATAAGTACTGAAATGAAAATATCTGTCTATAATTTTCTGTTCTTCTGTTTTCGTTTTTATTTATCAATCTTACTTTTTAGGTTCTTATTTTTTTTAATTATTTTCATTTTCATTATTATTGTGTTTCTTGAGCATCTTGAGATTTTATATTGAAAGGCAATATAGTGGGATGCTAAAGTTTGAGCAGCCTTTTCAATCTTCATAATTATTCTGTAAAAAGTGCTGGTGGTTATGATAAAACATTTCAGTTAAACATACCATATAGGAGACACACACACAAGGATTTTTGAGAAGTTAAAGTTTATAGGATTTACACAAAGTGTGCAATAATTGTTTAAACAAAATTAGGCAGGTGAATAGATTTGGACACCACAAAAATAAATGAACTAGATATTTAGTAGATCCTCTTTTAGCAGGAATAACAGCCTCTAAATGCATCCTTTAGCTACTAATGAGAGTCCGGATTCTGGTTGAAGGTATTTTGGACCATTCTTCTTTACAAAACATCTCTAGTTCGTTCAGGTTTGATGGCTTCTCTCTTTAACTCACACCACAGATTTTCAATAATTATAAGGTCTGGGACCTGAGATGTTCTAGAATGTTCTACTTGTTCCTCTGCATTAGTGATGTGACGTTCACAAACGAATCAAATCTTTTGAACGGGTTTTCAAAGTAAACGATGACAGCCAAGTCCCTGTAGAGAGCCGTTCATCTTGTCTTGCGGTAACAAACCTCCCCGGAAGTCGGTAAAGTGCACCAGCTCAAACCCCACCTACCGCTGTGACGGACGTAGGAGGAACCCTAACCAACCCTGTGCGCCCTCGTGGACACTGCAGAAACACGTTGCTCTTAATACCCCCCCAACCTCGCAAGATTCCCAGTCCCTGCACTGGCCACACAGCCCACAGCATGATGGAACAACCACCATGTTTTACTGCAGGTAGTAGGAGTTTTTCTTGGAATGCTGTGTTCTTTTTCCTCCATGTATAACGCCCCTTGTTAATCTCAAATAACTCAGTTTTAGTTTCATCAGTCTACAGCACCTTATTCCAGAATTAAGCTGGCTTGTCCAAATGTACTTTAGCAAACCTCAAGCTGCTCTGTTTGTGCTGTGGACGGAGAAAAGACTTCCTCTGCATCACTCTCACATACAGCATCTCCTTGTGTAAAGTGCACCAAATAGTTGAACAACCCACAGTGACTCCATCTGCAGCAAGATGATGCTGTAGATCTTTGGTCTGTGGGTTGACTCTGACTGTTCTCACCATTCTTCGTTTCTGTTTATCTGAGATTTTTCTTGGTCTGTCAGTTTGAGCCTTAAATTGAACAGTGCCCGTGGTCTTCCATTTCCTCAATATGTTCCTAACTGTGGAAACAGACAGCTGAAATCTCTGAGACAGATTTCTGTATCCTTCCCCTAAACCATGATGGCAAACATTCTGTGTTTTCAGGTCATGTGAGAGTGGTTTTGAGACCCCAATGTTGCTACTCTTCAGAGAATATTCAAAGAGGAGGGAAAATTACAATTGTTCATCTAAATACTCTTTCTCTTAACCGGATTCACTTGTGTACAGAGGTCAAGGGTCACTGAGCTTACCAAACCAATTGTGAGTTTCAATAATGAGTTTTAAAGGGTTGACCGTTCTGGAATGTCCCCAGACCTGAATAATTTTGAAAATATGTGGTGTCAGTTTAAGATAGCTGTCCATGCTCAGAAACCATCAGACCTGAATGAACTAGAAATGTTTTGTTAAGAAGAATAGTCCAAACTACCTTCAACCAGAATCCAGACTGTCATTGGAAGCTATAGGAAGCATTTGGAGGCTGTTATTTCTGCTAAAAGAGGATCTAATAAATATTGAGTCAGTTTCTTTGTTGTCTAATTTTGTTTAAACAATTATTGTACATTTTCTGTAAATCCTGTAAGCTTTGTTTAACTTCTCAAATATCACTGCGTGTGTCTCTGTGATAAATTTAACAGATTTCTTTTCTTCGTAACGACCCAACGATTTATACAAGAAAACCATGTTGATTAAAAAGGTTGCCCAAACCTTTGCATCCCACTGCAAATGAAAAATGTTTTTGTTTCTACTTGATTCTTCTTCAGTTAGTTAAGGGGAGCCTAAGCCATGCCTATCTCCTTCTGGTCCATGGGTCCCCTACTGTCAAAAAACATGAATGGGAGCTTATAGACCGATAAGTTATTTTGGGATCCCATTTGATATGCGCCATGGATTTCACATATGATGTCCTTGAATTTTAAAGACACATTTTGATGTAAAAAAAAGTGCTTATTTTTGTCAGGCAGCAAAAGTAACACGTGGAGGACTCCAAAAGCTCATCTCACCAAATTTACATCACTAAACCGATGAAGAAGAAAAAAATTACTGAGTTTAGTTAGCTTTGCATCCTTCTTCCTGCATGAAATAAGGAGCATTAAACATGGGAAAAAATGTATCTGGCCATGTAGAAGGTGGCAGCTGTGCTGGGGAGAAAAGATTCTGCAGTGATATCTAAGTCATATGTGCAATGTCTGATTTGTTGTCTTTTTAAGTACATTTTTTTTACAAGCAAATAGATCTCAAATTATGTGACAGACATTGTTGAAACACACATAATTATTTTTCATTTAAATCGAAGTAGGGGATATGTGTGATTCAGGGCGTAAAGCAAAGCAAACCAGAAAATTACCTTTAATATTATTATATATTTTTTTAAGCTCAGGGGCTCTTGAGCCAACCGGGGAGGAGACTGGGGTTTCCCAATGTCACTTTGTGTTTAGGTTTAAAAATGACAAAGTTGTAAAAGAGTTTAATAGCTAGCTGAAAGGAAATGGGACCAGTTAAAATAAATAGAAAATCAACGTATCAAAATTTAGGGAATATTAATACAAGAATGTTTGTGACTTTATTTTTTTAACTCTGTTGTTTAGAATATTCACATGACCGATAGTCACATTTCCCAGTCAAATGTTTTTTTTTATTTACATGTGTATATTATTTTTAAATTAACAGAGAATTAAAACTTAAAGAGGGACTGCACACCATCAGAAAATGTAACTCCACCTCTAGTCAAGATTTGGAAAATGCCATGAAAGTGGGCATTGCCAGGAGGCACAGCGCGGCATGGCCAAGTGTGGGGAATTTCCATCCTAGTTCCATAGGAGGGAGGGTAGTGGGAGGAGACTGTACCAATGACATGAAATTGTTCCAGCCCCAGCCAATCACAAGTTTAAAATGCAGTAGCCGCCATTCTGCCACGGGGGGCAGCACTGAGACGTTTTTAGAGCTAGATTCTAGATTTAATTAAGTTTACACAAACATGTCAAAAATGCACAGAAACAGAGAGATTGTATTTGTAAGGACCCAATTATATGGTTTATAAGCCCAAAAAAGTTATTTTGGGGTTTAGTTACTCTTTAAAAAATAAATAATTAAACTCCCTTTTTTTTCCAGGAGTGAATCACATTAAATAATATCTTAAATTAACACTTCTTTGCATAAACATGCATTTGTTATTCATAATGTAAATGTTCGGAGAGAAGTTGCCATGTTAATGTCTGCTTGTGGGTGTCATGTCTATTACTTCTGCCTTGATAATTTACGCTGGTGATGTGGACTAGGCATGAGTAGTCGAGTGCAGACACCATCACCAACCCCCTCATGGGTATATATTTTTTTAATACTTTGTGAGGGAAAAACTGTCAACCATATCCAAAGTGCAGGACCAAAGACAACTAAATAATGTATGCTTTTGTTAGATTCTTTGAAGACGATATATGCTACGCGTTACCCGTTTCAAGTGTCGAAGATTTCAGACCTCTGCACAGAACAGATTTTGATCATCAGAAGGTGTATCTGGTTCACAGAACTGAGGAGAATGGCTGCGCAGGCCAGCCGTGCCAAGCACAGATTCTTGCCCTTGCAGGTAAGTTACCCTCCGGACACTTTGCTTTCATCGTTACCGATTCTAATTTTCTCTGTCAGAGCAGTAACGCTGCTGTTAACTTCACTCAGACAGCTGTCAAAGCAAGTCTTTTCGTTCCGAACAGTCGGGACGCGATCAGCTGGAATTTAACAGCTGAAACAACAGAAACAACAACGTCCTCCGCCGTAGCTAGCAAGACATGCTAAGTTTAGAAGGCTGTCATACTTCGTCAAAGCTGGGTTTAACGCAGTGTGTTGTGCTGGCGGTTATGTGTCCTGGCTCTGAAGTGCAGTGTTCGTGGTTTCATGTAACGCTTGCGAGTCGCAACGATTGTTTACAACATGAAGCTAACGGTACTAGCATGCTATATCCGTTTTTTCATTAGCACGTTAGCTCCGGTGGGGTAACAAACCCGACGCAGAACTGTCCTGACGTTACACAAACGTCTCTGACATACAGGATTTTTAAATATCTTAGTTTGTTTGAGGTTTGAAAATGTTGTATAACTGTTACTCTGACTGTGTCTGTGCGGTTAGCTTGTCTGTGGCTTTGCTGTAGCTCGTTTTACTGTTGCGGTGTTGCAGTTTCCGTGACACTTCCGTGCATAGTTACACAGTAGCCTTCTGGTTTTGCGAAAACCAATGATGATTTGTTAAACTGTGTAGGCGAATGTGTTTGATTTGCTGCTGCTTTGGTATGGACACAAGTTTTTATACTTATACATGGTGATACAGCCCTAACCCTGCGACTCAGTCGTTTGGGCTATGAGACAAATCAGTGGCAGATTGGCTGAAACATGGATTTTAATAGTTTACCCCCCTAAGGTTAGTTTGAAGAGGCTCGATGCATGATTAAAATATTAAACTGAACTTATCTGTGATCAGTTGTGTGGATTCTCTTTTATTTTTAAGATGTCTGCACTTTTTGGTACCTAAACTGCCTGTTATTGGATTCACAGATACAGTAGAAGAATTTGAAGACAGCATTACACAAAAAAAGATGAAAATTCCCAAGATGTCCATCAAGTCTTCAGGAAACTCTATTGAGAACCGTTTTGGAGAGGAGAGGATGCCACTCAGGCATAAAAAGGTAACAATGTAAATGAGTTGTTTACAATCATTTAGTGACATTTTTTTATACCAGAGGATATATTGTTTATTACTAACAACAGCACAAATATAAATTATAGTATACATTCATTCACAAAGTCTGATTATATTTATTGCATCAAGGCATTCATAAGATAAATTCAAGTGAACCAAATAAGAGTAATGTTTCTTTTTGACCATGTATCTACTTTAGAAAGAACCCTAATTAGCTTGATCAACATTATGTAATATTGCTATAGTTAAAGAAGTCATCTTAATTTTGATATGAAATTTGATGCTTTGTTACATTTTCATAAACTTGGCTGACATCCAAAATCCCTTATGCTATTTTTACCATATGCTGGATTAACACACAAATTCAGCACTCTGGACAGCTGCCCTTTCACCAGCAAATCCGCTGAGCGGCTCATCAAAGAACTCGGTGACTCTTTTCGTCCGTGTCTCTGCTGTGATCTGCACAGTCTAAACAAGCTGACTGGAGTCTGTCTGTAATGTCAGCTTTAATCTGATGTGACATCGTTTCATTTAGCTTAGAAGAGTTAAAATAAGTTACATTTTTGGTAAGGTGTTAGGATGAAACTCTCATTCAGCAGCAGATTTTGTTAAATTCTATGAAAGGTTTCCAGAGACTGAAAGTTCTGGATTTTGGGTTGAGATAAAAATCTGAATAAAAAAAAAATTAGATTGTTTGATATTATTACTACTTATTTGTCTCTCTTTAGTTAGTTCTTTTGTTTCAGGACATTGTAGTTTCTTGATCATTTTGTTGCAGCTCAGTTATCAGGTCAATGGCCTATTTCTACCCTAAAATGACAGTTATTTTCTCCAGGCCCTGTCACACGATCATGGACGCCCCCTCTCCAACTCTTCCAAGAGCCTTGCAGCTGTTGTGGCACGACTAGAGAGGAATGCAGCCAACTCCTGTATGGAGGGTGAAGAGGACCTGGATGAGGATCGGCTGGCTGAAGAAGGAGGGGATGCAGATGACGAAGATGACGATGTGGAGGCAGCACATCGGCGACATCATCACCAGCAACAACAGCAACATTTGGAGATGGACACAGATTGCGTGTCGGAGGTAGCCGCCGCTGTTGTTCCTCGAGTTCTGTACGAGGAGCTGGTTCACAGCTACAGGCAACAGGAGGAGGAGATGAGGCGACTGCAGCAGGAGCTGGAGAGAACCCGTAGGCAGCTAGTGCAGCAGGCCAAGAAGCTGAAAGAGTATGGCAGCTTGCTGACAGAAGTCAAAGAACTGAGGGACTTTAACAGGAGACTGCAAGATGTACTTCTCATGAGATTGGGCAGTGGTAAGAAACCAGAAGCATGCACGCCTCCGCACAAGCCACTCATTTCCTGTCTACAAATCCTTAACTGACTGATAACATTTGACCTTAGTAATCAGCTAAAATTTAAACAGTTTTCTTACTTGTACAGTTAGAAAGCAAAAAGTCAGAGGGGAGAGTGATGTTTACTAAAAGTTACTACATTCATGAGTCAGCATAGGCAAGCTGATTTCACTGAATATAGATGATGGATCCAGTTTTTGTTTTATTGAGATTGATCAATATGGGTTTTTCTATTGCAGATACCAATGCTGATATGTAGAGGTCATGGTCAGCCGTCAGCTGAAATGTGCTGCCAGTTTTTTGGGCCAATATTCAGGCTATACCTAGATGATTTTCACATTATCTGCAGGCTAAATAATCACTAATAACCAGTTAATGCGTAACCTTTCTGAACCTGGACCTGGGGGCAGCAAGTAGCTCAGGAGGTAGAGCGGGTTGTCCAGTTATCAGAAGGTTGCAGGTTTGATCCCGGCTCCGACCAGAGAATGCTGCTGTTGTGCCCTTGGGCAAGACACTTAACTGAACTCACCTCACCTTGCCTGCTGCTGGTGGTTGGTAGCGATGGGTACCGAATTCGGTACTTTTTAAGGTACAGACCGAATTCCGTAGTACTGACCGAGCACCGATTCACGTCATTTCAAACGGTGCCTCGTTTCGGTACTCGTCCATCATAACAAGAACTTGCCAAGACAGCTGCGCATGCGCAAGAGCGTTATGTCATCGGTCGCTGCAAGCGAGTTGTAAACAGAGCAGCATGGTAGAAAGAATGCACGCTAAAGCTTGGGTCCACTTCACTAAATGTGATGGGTAACTGGGTGATGATGAAACCAGCGACAACGATCTAAGTGAGACATCCTCATCTTAATCTGCTCCGGTAGGTAAATATAATTAGCTTGATGTGTTAGCTTCCGTTTCGCTAATGGTGTGTTCGCTTTCTCCTCGGAACTCCGAATTCTCGACTAGAAGAACATGAACACGCTCTTAAGTTTGGCATTACTTTACTAAATGTGACGGGTGAAGATGAAACCAGTGACAACGATCTAAGTGTGAGGCATCATCGTTTTAATCTGCTCCAGCAGCTAAATAAACTGTTTAAGATAACGTTAGCTTGATATGTTAGCTTCCATTGCTACCATTGTTATCAGCTAATGGTGCGTTTGCTTTCTCCTCGGAAATTCTAACTTCCCAGTAGGAAAAATCAAATGAAAAAAGATGGCAAAAGGAATGACGATACACAGTAAATTTAGTTCACAGCAAAGATGTTTGCTTCAATTTAATTATCAGCTTATAAAACTACAAGGACGATGTTAAAATACAAACAGTTGTATGTTATTTATCGTGATATTTATCAAATATTGTTATATATTGAGAAAAATATATATTTAATTATAAAAGAGAATTAAAATAATAAACACTCAAAAGTATCTCAAATTGGTACCGTTAAGTACCGGTATCGATTCGTAGGTACCGGGAATTAGTACCGGATCGATTCAAATGTCAAAGGTACCCATCCCTAGGTGCCAGTGTTCAGCAGGCCTCCCCTCTTTCAGTGCGCCTCAGGGCAACTGTAGCTACATTGTAGCTCATCCCCACCAGTGTGTGAATGTGTGAATGACTGATTATGTTGAAAAACACCTTGGGGGATTGTAGAACCCTAAGAAGGCACTGGACAAACAGGCCATTTACCTGAATCAGCTTTTGATAACTGAATCTAATCAACTGTTGAACCTGAGTTTTGTTCACTGCTCAGTATTAAAATCAAACATTTAAGCAAAATTAATCAATAAACTGACCAGGTATTAAATATAAAATAGGTACATAAAAAGAAACATCAGTTGACAACAATGTTTAGAATTATTTATTAAGCAGCTGTTTTCAAGAATGTAAAAATACATTTAAATAAAATGCTGTAACAGCACCAGGTTGTCTGCAGATGTGCCTGATTTTAAATAAGCTCTGCTGATGTGTAAATAATGGTAAACATCAGCCCGGTGTGTGGGTCTGTCCCTTACTTGTACACTTAGAAAACTTAAAATCAGAGGGGAAGAAGTAATGTTCACTAAAGGTTACATTCATGGGTCTGCACTGGCAGGTCAGTTTAACTGAATACAGATGATGGATCCAGTTGCAGTTGTATTCAACCTATGTAGTGTTTTACAAAAGTCGTTAATATGCCAAGCTCTTGTTGTAATTATTGTAATTCATTAGTTAGGCTCAAAATGAGCCTTTATGGCAAAAACCAACAGCAGTAATCTCTACCTAGCATTAGAGAGTAGAGCAGAGGAGTTTTGCTGATGAAATGATTGTCATACAAACGTAAAATGGTAAATGGCCTGTATTTGATATAGCGCCTTCCAGAGTCCTGGAACCCCCCAAGGCGCTTTACAACACAATCAGTCATTCACCCTTTCACACACACATTCACACGCTGGTGGGGATGAGCTACGATGTAGCCACAGCTGCCCTGGGGTGCACTGACGGAGGCGAGGCTGCCGAGCACTGGCGCCACCGGTCCCTCCGACCACCACCAGCAGGCAACATGAGTTAAGTGTCTTGCCCAGGGACACAAGGACAGCGACAGACTGAGCGGGGCTCGAACCTGCGACCTTCCGATTACGGGGCGAGCACTTAACTCCTGTGCCGCTGTCACCCCACAACAGTCTTTGTGCCTTTTGAAACTTTCCTCTTTATTCAGCTGAGTGAGCAACATAAGCTGTCTTTACAGTAGAATCTATTATGTAATAGGGTTGTCACGGTGTGAAAATTTAACCTCACGGTTATTGTGACCAAAATTATCCGGTTTTCGGTATTATCGCGGTATTTTTTTAAACGTGTTACATTTTCAGACAACTAAATAAACCCTGTATATCAGCAAAATATTGTCCTCAGTTTGTGTCTAAATTTTGCCTAAAATTTGTTATTTTGTAATTATGTTGTTTATTTGTTTACATTTTCCCCTTTAGTCTTTAAAATACCAATATTTGCCCATAACTTCTTATTTTTTGTCCATTTGATGTCATCTTTTTAAAAATATTAGATCAGATGATACTCGGTACTCAAGCAGCCTTCTAATCAGATACTTTTTTGCCCTTACTTGAGTAATAAACCCTATATCAGGAAAATATTGTCCTCGGTTTATGTCCTTCTGGTGAGCTTTGCAGATTTGGGAAAATGTCATCAGGCAATGATCATTGTTAAATTTATAATTATTCTCGGAGAGAGACCAACTCTTATCTGCCCCTGGGAGCCCCATAACGCATAGCGTCATTTCAATATGGGGGTGTCCGCGACACGGTTTATATGCAGGTAGCGGCGCTGCGGCTGCTTTATATAGCGACTCGTTGCATTCTCCCTCAACCCAAATCCTCGGATCACACATTTTAGCTAAAACGCTAACGTTAACTTGCCTTGCGTTGACTGTAGAGTTGTGGGTGATGGTCACGCAGATGTGTCATGAGATTTGAAACGTTGCTGCCTTTCACAGACACTTTTTCTGTACGTGCTGCAAACAGGATAGCTGTCTTCTATCAACTGTCCCTCGGCATTCTTCCAATATCCAAAAGATGCCCATACTTCCTACTTTGTCTTCTTTGAGGGATAATAAATGTCCTGAGCACTGCCGTCTCCTCCTTTGGCCATTATTTCAGCTTTAGCTTCAAGAAAGTTTTGGTTGTAAACAACAAAGTGCGCATGTGCCGCCGGCAACTTCAGCAGATGATACGGTGGCTGGTAAGGGTCACCGCGCCTACACCGCATCCACGGTAATCCACCGAGATAATTTTTTAAAAAAAATAAGACGGTTATTATTATTGTCAACCTTTTTACCGGGGTTTACCGCTACACCGGTTACCGTGACAACCCTATTATGTAACATAGATAAAAGATAAAATTTTGATTGGTTCATTTCTAATCTGGCAAATCTAATGTTGAGTTAAATGTATGGGTTGTGTGTATATTATGTTGACACTGCTGTGTGTCCAAGTCCTTAAGCTCCAGATGCTGTGGTAAAGATCAGACCCCCCATGGATCCAAACAGAGGTACCTGTTGGGCAGACCATCTAATGGACAGGCTAAAGATTAGAGCACCATGGGATTCTGTCAGTCAGGAAGTAGAGCACGCTGACCGATATTAAAACTCATCAGCTGCATTGGAGCTTAGCATGGCCAGCTACCAAGCCAGCTTAGTTACTGGGCTAAAATAACCTGCTGTCTCAAGCCACAGGGAAGCCCAGGCCTGAGGCAGGAATAATGTAAACAGGAAGTTTTACAGCAGGAAATAAAGGTGGCAATGGCTTCTAATCAATGGCGTGCTTTTCCAGTAACTGCTGTATTTTACTTTTGTAAAGCTGGTAGATGATTAATTCAGCGCTTAGACGTGTATTTACACAATGTTAAGTATTTTTGTTTTTGCGTTCTAGAGCCTATGCATGACAATGGCACTCAGACAATCAAGGCTGAAGTGGTTGAACCTATTGTTGAGACCCAGGAAATGTGCAGAGAAGAAGCCAACACAAGCTCCAGCTACTCGCCCTCACCTAGAACAGTGTACACCTGCAACGATGGGAAGGTAAGACTGACTCCACTGAAAGCACTGTCCTCCACATAGTGCTGTTATTTTTACCTTTTGATCTGAGATTCAGTTAGCTGTACCAAACTTTATTTGTCTTCTGCGTGGTGCTCCTTGTTGGCCGTTGTAATGTTTATTGTGTCAATGTTCCATCTGCAGTAAACCAGAACTTTGGTTTAAATAAAAACAATCTATTTTATGTCTGACTTGACCTCTGATGTGGACGCTATAACAGAAAAACTCTGTAAGTGTAACCTTAGTATCCTCTAATGCCAACGTACTGTATCTCTGGCTATTTGTTTGTGTGCGAGCATAAAAAGAAGCATGATTCCTGTAGGAAACCGTGCTCTCCTTGCTAACAACCACGAAAGCAGGAGCATGCTGTTGAACTCGATCTGTTCTTTCCCCTTTGCTTCCCTGTCCTAGCAGGTAAACAAGGTTGAGAAGATTATTATTGTTCCTGCCAGCCTAGCCAGCGTCATCAGTGTTTATTAGCCTGTTAGGGTTCTTTCCTTCCCTCACTGCTGTAACTCAACCAGCATCCTGTCTCTGATGACAGGAGGAGAATTGGTACTACAAGCTCTGGGGCCTTCAGCCACTCCAAGCGTGAAGAACACTTGCAAATTAGAACACTCCTACATCAGGGAACCCATATTAATTATTTGCACAAGAGGAATTTAAAGTGACTGACAGGTTAGCCCTAGTGAGAGTGCACCAAAGTGTTGGGAGGATGAAAACAGTGTGGTCTAACTTAAGGGCAGTAGAAAGCTTGTCTGCTGGCCCGCGGCGTAAAGCACATTAGCTGCACGGGGAAAGCTCCTGGATGCTAGACTAAAGACTTTACAGTGATAAGAGAATAGAGGCAGAAAAGAGTTACATGTGCACTAGATCACCTAGAAGACCAGGGCAGCCTGTTGGCTCTGATGATCAGCTTTGAGTCATTTGTGGTGATTTATGCTAGGTGCGCTAATAATGTATAGAAAGGCTAAGATCAAAACGGAGCTGATCCATGCTGCAAACGTTGACCCACGTTTATTATCTCAGCACGTGAAAGATCTTGTGCATGGCTGAGATGATCTGTCCTGACTGTCAACCAACTAAAAGATCTTTAGCGTCCACTGTGCTTATTTAAAAATTGGTACTACCTTAAACTCCTGTGGAGATTTAGGACAGCACAAATAAGCACAGCCCATTCTGTTCTGTTGGCTGTAAAAAACATAAACACATGGCTCATGTGTCTCTTTGACAGATTTCCAGAGGAGACAGCACTGAGACCATATCACTGAATTTTAGATCTTTGTTAGATGAAGTATTTGATATTGTGTGTGAGCACATCAGTATCAGAGTTGATTTACTTGAGACCGTGCCGTCTAAGATCCCACAGAGCTGATAGCTCTGAGGGGGATTAGCTACGCTCTAAGAGTTACAAATGGCTGTTGGACCATCAGGAGGACAACACACTTACTGTATATTAAAGCTTCACTTGGCCATCCTGTTTAAACCTGCAGTTAGGAGTCAGCGGTTGCTGATACTGGTGTCATCTACCTGAGCTTGTTTTACTGTCCTGTTACTTCATATGTTTTTTTAAAGAGCTTATTTTAACTTTATTGCTTAGATTTGAGATGTGACTCATAAAGGCTTTTATTATTTCTGTCACATGCAAAGCCAAGTGTTTTGATGATAATGTTCCAGACAGAAATGTTCTTAACATTACACAAATAACATGGCATGCCCAAAGACTTTGTAGAAAGTTTGTGGAAATAAATGTATTAGTATGTAAATTTCTTTAGGTCTAAGGCCATGTACACACATAACCAGGTTTTCTAAAGCCAAATATCCTCCCCCACCCATCTAGAAAAAACCTTGGGCCAACCCCACAGATTCATAGGCATGCCAAGACTGTAGGTGGCAGTAGTTCTCCACATCGCTGGCATCTTTGCTGAAAAACATTTTTGGGAATAACTAGTTGGTGGGCAATAACCATCCTTAACATCATTTGAGTGTGGTCTTCTAAATAGAGCAGTAATCACGCTTGTAAAAACAAGTAAGCAAGTGTAAACAGGTCGCACAGGTCAGAGCATGTTTTTCGCGGCTAGTGATGTTGTGAAATCTATAACCCCAGTTAATTACATCCACGAGCAAATGCTGACAATGGAGAATTCACAAATCTTTACTTTGTTCAAATTTTTTGAATGAATCATTTTTGGTGTCCTATATCTTCAATGTTGTGTGGATCACAGGCCAAACCGTAGAAAACATGTTCACTTTTTGTGATACCCAACTACGTGTGTATAGGGTCTAAGAGGTGGTAGACACAGTGAGCCTCCACTTAAACGTCTGCCTATAGGAAACATGGAGGAAACCAAGTGTTACACTAAAGTGGCTCGGATTTTTAGTAGTCTGGAATAGCAAACAAAACAAAGGTATTGTTTTTAATGGTTGCATTTCATGCTATTTTAAACCTTTGACAACACATCGGCCTGAATTTATACCCAGAAGTAAAACGTTTAATAAAACGCCCACACCCGCTGCGGCAAAACGTGCCTACATTATTGTCTTAGGCAAGGTGTTTACTGTATTGGCTATGGCAGTCCAGTGGTGAAGGCATTTGTCTGCCATCTCGGTTTTACCTTGTGCTGACGTGGGTTTGAGACCCGGTGGTGTTGGCAGTTATGTATTTAGCCAACTGAAGCAGATTTCATGTTTTTATATTTTCCATTAATTGATTATTGTTTGTGAAGTATTTTGTGTCTTTGAATTTAGTCATATCCAAGCAGCATTTACTCTGCTCACCTCACATGGACTCACACTGGTTAATAATCAAAGAAAGCAAAAACAGAACAGGTTAGTCCTTATATTTTAAAGTTTACCAATAAAGGGTTGAAAACATCATACTGTCAGGTGGTTAAAAAAAAGACAATTATCTCTCAGACGGATGCAAACCTGCACAAAGCTGCATGTCAGTCCAGCACACTTACCACCAGACTACCAAGTCTGTTACATGACACCTGTTGCCTGTGTCACATATCCTAAGCTGGCCAGAGGAGACAGATTTCAGACCAGAGACTAGCGTCTGGGGTAGGAGCATGAAGATGGATTGGTGTACAACTTATACATTAGGTCGTTTCAGGAGTTTCAAAATAAAATTCTACATTTACAGCTGAATAAGGAAAATGCATTTTTCATAAGGAAACAAATACAGTAAATGCTAAAAAGCTCAAAAACTAGATTTTCCATGATATGGTCTCTTTAATACAGTTTCAGCATAGCACCACCTAGGACAGGCTGAACCCTGAACTGACTACATATTCTCTGATTGTAACATTATTATTTTTTTATGTTTCAGTTCTTCATGTCTTAAAATTGGCCCTGATATCAGTCTTAAATGATTCCTAACTTATTTTTTTTATCTCTAAATCGTTTGCAACTGTGCTGCAACTACCACCTGTTTTAAAACCAACTGAACTAGAATGAGTATAATTATAGACATCAGAAAGATTGGATTGGAAAATTGGATTGTAACAGCAAGGCTCCGAACTTAACACTGTTGGTGGCTTGCCTTTTCCTATAATATACACATTACACAAATAACATGGCATGCCCAACGACTTTGTAGAAAGTTTGTGGAAATAAATGTATACGCATGTTAGCTTCATTAGGTCTAAGGCCATGTACACACAGAACCAGGTATATATATATTTATATATATATATGCATGTGTGTATATATATATATATATATATATATATATATATATATATATATATATATATATGTATATATGTGTGTGTGTGTGTGTGTGTGTGTGAATATGTATATGCATGTGTATATGTATATATATATATATGTGTGTGTGTGAATATGTATATGCATGTGTATATGTATATATATATATGTGTGTGTGTATATGTATATGTAAATTTTATACGTTATATATAATTTTCTTGATTATATAATATATAATTTTAATTATTATTTATTATTATTATTATTATTTATTATTATTATTATTATTATTTATTATTATTATTATTATTATTATTATTATTTTAGCTGAACTTGTGCATTTTACAGTCCAAAATCCACAAATGTGGTTTCTGCAGGTTCATCTTGGTGGTGGGATCTGGGTGGAGGAAGAGAAATGGCACCAGCTGCAGAGGACCCAGGGAGACTCCAAGTTCACAAAGAACCTAGCTGTTATGATCTGGGGCACAGAAACTCTTAAAAACCGTAGTGTCACGGGAGTTGCAACTAAAAAGAAGAAAGATGCCCTGCCCAAACCTCCTTTGTCACCCAGCAAGCTGAAAATCGTCAGAGGTAGGACAAATTCTACAAGTCATGAATATAAAAAGCTAAAAGGAGCTAATTAAATGTTGTTACGCTACACAAATGGGTATATAAATACATTTTTCAAACAGTCTAAATCATAGAAATACATTCAGTCAACCTCAAAGATGAGATGAGAAGCTGTTGTAGACTGACTGTCAACCCCCACTCCCTCCACAGAGTGTCTCTACGACAGAGTGTCTCAAGAGACGGCCGACAGCGCCGAGATCACGCAGAGATTGTCCAAAGTGAACAAATACATTTGTGAAAAGATAATGGACATCAACAAGTCCATCAAGAATGAGGAGCGGCGAGAGTCCAAGCTGCTTATCAGACAGACAGTCAAGATGGAGAATTTCACCTACGATGGAATATAGTGACCAGCTGTCACGCCAGCGCCTTCTGCCCTGCGTGGTCTGCAGGACTTTTAAGGGGGACTTGGTACAGGCTGTTGGGAAATGTCACTGTTCCAGGAGCGGTCATATTTTTTTTCATACATTTGATTGATTTTTCTGTGAAATGTTAAAACACATCGGTCCCACGCCACCTTCTCTGAGAGGTGAGCACCACATTTTTCAGCTGCGTGCCAGGCAGCTTTACCCACCAGTTAGAACTTGTGGAATAGTTTGATCTGAGCTGGAATGAGCGTTTTTATAAGCTTTACCATGGCGTTGGTACAGAGACGCGTGCACATGTATCAAAAGAGAAATGAGATGTGATTATTAATTTATTGTTCTGTGTCAGAACATCCTTTTGAGTCCTTTAACTTTTAAAAAGTAAGAGGTTATTTTAGTGGCTAAAGTCTTCTGATGCTGTAAGAGTGATGATGCTGGCTGATGTTAGTTCTTAGACGTATGAGCTGTCAGTTGTCTTTTTGGGAACGATCCAGGAACTGTGGGGAAATTGAATGTTGGTACTTAATGCATAGAATGGGACATCAGGGTCTCAAACGCACAAGTCTTAATTAGTAACAGCCATATGTCATTTTGCTCCAAGAGATTAATTTTGAATGTGTGTTGTTAAGTCCTTTAACTCATCCGTTCATAAGGAGAGAGGTTTATTAGAAAGTTTCTCAGATTTGAGATCAACAATATCATTAGACTTTTTTAGAGTTGTGAGAATCTGCCATCAGTGTTTATGAGCACTTGAGAGGTTTAGGTGACATTTGTGTGTTAAAGCTGTCGGAGAGCTTGACAGCAGACATGTAGTGGTACAGGCATTTTGATGCCAAGGACAGCCTTAAACCGATTTGGCAATCACCGGGGCCTGGTTTGTCCCTGGGTTTTCTAGTAAGCTGTGATTGTAATTGTTCAGTAAGCTGAAGTGACGAAGCTTCACCTGCACTTTGCTGTGAGAATGCAAGAGGTAGCCAGGTACTGTTTAGTGTGTGGTTTGCATCATTCGGGTTGGGATGAACCAGACGCGGGGCTCGGCTCGGCTCGGCTCGGCTCAGTCTGGGTCATCTTGATGCTGAGGCTGTGGGTAAAGCTGTCTGCTGCTGCTGCACTATGTCTCCATGAGGTAGTCTGGCCCTGGTGAACCTCATAATAACTGTTGTCTTTGAGCCTCACCACTGGGGGGGGGGGGGGGGGGGGTAAGATTGCTCCAGTGACATTTTTTCCTCTAAGCTATGCCATCAGAACTTTTAAAGTGTCCCCTTTTCTGTGTATGTTTTTTTATATCTATATCTGGGTCTTTTCTCTCCTGTTAAATTGTTTTGATCTGAAATGGCTTGTGTGGCTTTCTGCAGGCTGGAACTAAACGCTGCAGATTGAAATCTCAGCTGTGACCTAGCTGTGGCTAACTGTGAATCTTCCGCAGAGCTGCCCGTCAAGCCTTTCTCCTCTCCACACTCTAAATTCCTGTACGTCTGTTTGTTTATCTCACTCAGTCATTTTGTTCCTCTTACATTCTGTTCAATCTAAAGTTCATATCAGCCTTTCGTTAGGCTACTTAACGTTCTGGAGTCATATACGTGTATACAGAAATGCGTTTTTATTTTTCAGCAGTTTCTTGTTGTTATGCTACACTTTCAAGGTTCTGATTATGGTTTTTGTTTTGATATTGGCTCTCTCTGTTTGTTTTTTTGAATTGTTGGCTTTAAGCTAGATAAAGTATCCAAATGTTGATCAGAGTTAAAAACCAATCTCACTCTTAGCCAAAGTGATCTCAGTGGAACAAGCGAGAGATGCTTTCTTACAGAACCCATTCATGACATCACAAACCTCACTTAGGATCTATTTACTGAATGAAATGCCATAGGAAAGGTTCAACTCTGAAACCGTTCAGCTCTAAACATTTAGACGCAGTTATGATCAACTTTAATCATTTACATCGAATGCACTTTAAATTTATTTTCTTTTTATTTTAAAGAAAGGTATTTGTGGTAATTGTCTTTTTGATGTCTTTTATTCGATTGCAGCCTAACGGTTATTTTATTATCATAAAGCACCTTATGACTTTTATTAAGGCAAAATTGAGGTTTTAGACATTGTTTTTTTTTTCATGCAGATGTCCCTGGATTATTATTTCATGGAAAATTGCAGGATTATTCTTAAAAGCCAGATTCACAAAAGTTAAATCCTGTAAAAACTGGAACCATTATGGTGTCTTAAACATACAAAAGATATAACATTATTTCACTTATGGACAAGCAACAAACAAATCTTCAGTGTAAGACTTTACAATGTGAGCTGACTGTAAAATGGGCTTTAACTGAATATGTCTACATGCTGGCAATGTATAAGTCTGATTTAGGATGAAATATGTATTATTACCGATGAGTGACGACTGTGAGATTTAAGATGCAGACTGATGAATCAGCTGGGTTTGCACATGAAAAAGCCCATGCCAAGGTAACAGAGCTCAGAGAACGGAAAGGCATGTAATGATGATTTAAAATATTTTATTGTTTGGGGGTCTTTAAATTTTTTATTGTCTTTGTACAAAGTGACATATGGTTCCTGTGTGCAAGTGTGTATTAAAAATACACTTGATTTTCTTTTTTAAGAAAAGAGCTTTCTGCTGTGCAAAGCAACCTCACTGAAAGTCTGATGACTTGTCGAGTACTGTGTTCGTGTTTGTTTTCCTTGTTGTTTGATGCCAAAAGAGTGCGTGGATGTAATATGCTTTAAAAGTAAGCATTTATAGAGCAATTACGTCACTTAAAAATGTTAAGGCACTTTGAGGGCTGGTTTCCTGGAGCTCGATTGAGCTTCTTTCCCTAACTTGAACCATCTGCCGTGGATGTAAAAGAGAGCTAGATGTTGTATTTTTTTTTTCTTTACCCCACACTTGATTTGATCTGTGATGGGAAGGCCAATCTCTGTCAGATGCATCAAGCTAGCTGCAGAGAAGCAGTGTTGCTTTTTGCAGCAACTATTAACATGACTAAAACACACCCTGGCACAGTCATTACTGGGTTTGCCAGCTAGGTTGACTCCGCAATAGCACACCAGACCTTCCACTACTCTTACTGTCTCTCAATAGTTGCTATAGGCAGGAACTCGCTCAACGTGCTGTTCCTCACACTTCTAATTTCGTCTAGTTCAATTGATGCACTTGTATCAAAATAACAGAAAAGTGTGTTCTCGTTGCTTGGTGTACCAGCTATCATTGTGAACAGCAGTCAGAGCTTCACAAGTGCTCAGCTCAGTTTTATTTTTGATAGTTTGATTCCAGTAAGAGAAAGAGAGGAATTCCTTTATCGCTTCACTCTGTGGAACCAGATAAATAGTTTGCAGAGCTATGTTGTACACACAAAACACATTACTGTTTGAGCCTCAGATATAATATAGAATATACTTCAAAAAATATATATAAGAAAAGGGGGAAAAAAAGTAATGTCCGACCTATATTTTTATTAAAGGTATCAGTAACTTTGTATACAATCCACAAACCAGTTCTACTTCATCGAACTTCACCGTCCTACCTCATTGTTACTCTGGTGTTTGTCAGTGACTGTAAACTATGTGTGTATATTAAAAAAATCTAGGAAAAGGTTTACCTAATTACTCAACATGTACAGCATATAAAATCTTGTAAAACACCTCAATACACATATATCATTCTTAGGAAAAACGAGTTGAATTACCTGCTTAACGATGATGCTGTAAAAGGGGTTTCTGTGTGACGGGGTCGTCTCTGAATATATATCTGCTCTTTGCTATATTGTGCAGTCGGTCGCTGGTTGTGCTCTGTCTCTGTATTGCAGTTTGAGATTTTTACTGGTTGACGGTGCTACCAGCAAACAGTTTGAAAACTGATCTATCGGACCTCAAATGGTGCTGTTTTTCTATGTTTTTAATCGTCATACAGCTGTGTTTTATTCAGGTGTGTCAACCTCCGCTAGCCCCTCAGCTAATTAAATTTTAAGCCAAAATATTTTGCAAGGCTGATGACCCTGCCGCGTGTATCAAAAATATGCTATCCATCCAAATATTGTAGGTAGCGAGTAGATCCTTCAAAAGTACCTCAGATGATGGTGGTCGGTGTTTAAGGTGGATGCATCTGCATCAAGCATCAGTTTCCTTTGTTCTTGCATGTTTTCAGGAATTTGCATTTTCACTGGATAGATCGGGTCAGTGTGTCCTTTAGATCCAAAGGATGCCACTGTTCTTTAACTATCATCTTATAGGAAGCATTGTTCATACTGAGCTGTGTGTGTGTGTGAGTGAGTGAGTGAGTGAGTGAGAGAGAGTGAGAGAGAGTGAGAGAGAGAGAGAGAGAGAGGCCCCAAGCAAAATCATTTTCTGTTTGAGTCGAGCTTGTTTTTGATTTGAGGGTTCCCATAGTGAAAAGTGTTACCCAAATGAACAGATAAAATATGATTTAAGCTACCTTCATGAGGGCACGTTGATGTCATGAGCAGTTGCATCTTTTTGTCTCACTGTTAACAGATTCAGATGTAATTCTTACTAAATTAGCGTAAAAAAGTGCATTGCATTCTAATTTACCCAGTTCACTGACACTTATGGGTTGTTTTCTGCACCAGTGTGTTTGCGAAACTTGAGTTAACTGTCTGCGTTGTCTCTTTGAACCCTGTTTGTGAGCTACGTTGTGCTAGCGCCTCTAATGTGAGTAGTACGTGTTGAAAAAACACAGCAGGCTTGTATCATGGAAGCACTTAAGCCATTCTTTGGACTGTTGAGTTTTGTTCTGGTTCCAGAGTTTGTGTGCAGCTGAATTCCTATGCAGGTGTTGAATAACTAATCTGTTACCACATCACTGTTGGATGGAGGGTCGACCACAGAGGCGGGAAGCAGGAGAGAGCCGAATAGTTCTGCACAGCCTTGAGACCAAGTCAAATGAAACTATGGCGATATGACAAATCCATATAAAGCTACATGTTAAACCCTTTGAAATGAATTAAAGTGAGCTATACAGGGCTGCCTATGATCCCTTTATGTAGTAATAAACACATTACAGTTATAATTAGGGACAGACAGGGTTTTTACTACATGGAGTTTTTCCAGATCTATTCATGTTAAAATAACGACATTTGCAGTAAACAATCCCGTACCCTACTGTAATTCCCCAAAGTGGCAATCCCCTAACATTTGACGGTAAACGTTGCAGGTGGATGCGATATAAAGTGTACATGTCTTCGCTAAACCGGCCACACCTCTGCTATGCGAGCAACTCTTTGACGCTTAGCATCCTGTTCTGTGTTTTCTCTTGCTGCATTCAGGAACACCTGTTTAATGTATAAATAAACAGAAATAAATCAAGACTTTTATTCTATCAGCGCAAACCTCTGGTCTTTTTGTGTGTGTCTGCGTTACTTTCTCATTTAGGTTATTAAAGTGAGCCTGCACATGTTACATGAATTTGCTGTGGTTTCTAGTATAATTGAATGCACTTTAGCCATATGGCGCTCCTGTTTGAAGAAATAAAAGTTATTTGGAGGAGTGGGGGGCAGAAAAGGACAGGATTGGGAGTCTTAATATTCATGATATTCAGACATCTCACCTCTGAATGTCTAACAGCAACACAACTCTTCTGCTGCCTCCATTCACTCTACACCAATGATGTTTCATCTTTACAAATAAATCAAGCCTGGATCTTTTCTGCTGTGCTGTAGAGTTGCAAATGCTAGCGGTTAGCTTTTATTAGCCGAGACATACTCTGCTCTTTTCTGGATGCAAAATCAGCAACAGCCTCCTCCCGTCATGAGCCAAGATGGATGAGTCCATGAATAATCATTTACAGCACGATGCAGATCTGGGTGTTTTTTTCTGACCCAAGCGTTTCTCCGTCTGTTAATCTTTTGGCGGCTAATGCATGAAGTAGGGGTTGAAGACCATTTTCTAGTTCAGCTTGCATGTGATACTTGACACGACCAATCTTTTTTTCAAAAATGACAGTAATATGTTTTTCAGTGAGCCTCACCTATGAACTTGAGTTAAATTTCAGACCCACGAGGTTGAGAATGCAACCGTCAGGATGTTATGTTTTGTATTAGGTAGAAAAAGGGGCAGTATTGTTGCAGACCGCTTGTTTGATCCAGATCCTTCTTGCATTCTCACTTCTCCTGCGCTTCAACTCTTCTTTTCTACCTCCATACATGCACAAGCATTTACATTG